AGAATTTATGATTAAAAAAAAAATGTGTATCAAATTTTGATTCTGATGTGCAGGTTCTCACAATGAAGTAACTCTTGAGTTGTTGCAAGCAATCCCTTCCCATGTGGCACAGGGATCGTCCGATCCATCCCAACTAGGCGGCACGTTTTTCCATTGATCCTTTAGCGATCGAAGCACGGCAGCTTCAAATCAAAACACGAACAAAAACGACGAGTTGAGCTCAGTTAACACGATAAAACGAGCATCAAACAGTTAACATTTTTTCCGTTTTGGTAAAACTTATTATTAGAAGCTCGGTTCACAAAGCAATGTACTTGTTGGTGAATGATAAAATTTGTTTTAGCACGAAATGCAAAATCGGACATACTCTTTACTTCGCGCAAAGACAAAATTCTAACGGGCTTCAAGACGTACTACATTTCGGATATGCAAAAGTGTAAAGTAGTAAAATTTACCGTCCTGCGAGTTAGTCAAAGCATCACGAGCATGGATCAACAGGCAGAAAACGAGCAGATAATCGAACAACTGAAGCCGCATGCTGATGGAATAGCTCACTCCTTAAAAATAAAACAACAAAAATGTGTACTAAAAAACTGCTCACTTGAAGATATGTAGCTGTCCAAGAACTAGTTATCAATAGTAATTGAATTGCTTAGAACTGAATTTAACAACCACTTTCTCATTTTTGATCTTTTTATTTCTGTTTTTCTTCTATTTTCTTTGTCCCACACTCTTGTTAGTTACTAGTTAGTGCCATCCACAGTGAAATTGAAATACCAAATAAAGAAATATAAATAATAATTGATAAAAAAAAATAAAAGGAAAATGAAAGATGACGATATAGATAGAGTTGGGTGGTACGTGGAGTAAAAATTTGAAGAGAAAGTAGTGCTTGAAGAACAAATTCTGGGTTTTTTGCTGCTTTAAATGATTTGAACTTGTCTTAGAAGACAATCCAAACAATATATTAATTGTGCCATCCACTAGATATTTGTTCATCATTGATTGTTCAGCACTCTACCATCATGACAACATCAAACTGTTCAAAGTTACTATAATGTCTAGACATGCTTTTTATGTTTGCTTGTTTGGATAGTATACATGCATTATGAGTAAGGCTAAGCAGGACTAACTGATAGACAATTATAACTGATAGTGGAGTTGAGTTAAAGTTGAGTTACAAAAGTTGTTGAGTTAAAATGTTGAAATTTTTGGTGAGAATTCTTATATACAAACATGCTCTCAGTGTCAGCACCTTCTTGTCATCCAGAACCACAACCATCAGCTTAGCACAAAACCTATTCGCACCGTTCAGCTCCACCATAGTAAAGTAAGTGGGGTACCCGAATGGGGAGCCGCGGTAACCATATTCAAACGTTGAAGACTGTGCGCGAATCAACAATTTGTCATTCACGATCTTGTACTCGACGTCATTCAGCGAGACCACTCCAGAAAGACTGATCTGAACAACAATGGCGTACTCAGTCTCGATAACCTCAGGCAACGCGTATTTTAAGCTCATGGTAACTGGCAACGGGCCCACCTTTTCTTCCCTAGTAGAAAAAAGAAAAAGGAGCAAACAAAAATTACTGAATCGATCGCGAACATCTTAGAGAGGAAGTGTGTGTGTGAGAGAGAGAGAAATTACTTTGAGTGATGATCGGAGCTAGAGGAGCTGCCGAAGAGAGAAGTTGCTTGCCGGAAAAAGAGCTGGAGAAGGGACGGAGTCGGAGTAGCTTCAGAGGGGCAAAGGCAGGAAAAACTGGAGAAGAGAAAAACATGGCGATGGACATTTTCAGTGTAGTACAGGAAAATGTGGTTTGAACTGTATAATGGTAGCTTGTGGGAGGTGTTGTAGTGTGTGTATATATATATATATATAAATAGAGAGTGAGAGAGAGAGAGTACGCACGCAAATAGTACTCTGCCAACGCCATGCACACACGCTGCCACGGTGCCACCATCGGAGCATCTTTTCTGTTACGGAATATGCCTTTTCTTTTATTTTAGTGTTTTTTTTTATTTTATCGCGCCACTACTTGCAGAAGCCTATGACATAAGGACACGTGTTACACTGAGATGGTTGTTTTAAGAGTTTGGTGAGTATATTTTTCACTATTTAAATTCTGAGAAACATAAATGTATTGCAACATTCAGTACATGACTTATTTATTTAAGTATAACAAATTGATCTCCCTAATTATTAATTTTGTTGTGTCTTGTCACTTGGTGGCAATTACAATTTACACGAAAAAAAGTTTTAATTTTCTTATAAAGTCAAAGATGATTATATTTATTATTCCATTTTAATTTTTAACCTAACAATAATTTTCTTGATAAATATTTTCCATGCATGGTAATAATTCGAATTGTCGTCATTTTATTGAAATGTGTTGATTAATTTATACCATCAGGCCGGGAAAATCGATGTAATTAAGGATGAAAAATGCTTCTTGCCCCGTCTAACTTCCCACCGTCTAGATTACTCTCTGATGTGTCAAACCCACGTCATTAATATTTCTTAATTCCGTATTTGTATTATCTTTCCGTTT